ATGTGTTGCCATGGATGACATTGAGTTAATAAGATGCTATAGACGAGATCGTGCCGGGATCATGTTTGTGACAGAGATATTAACGTGTCTCTAATAAGATCAGACACAGCACAATGCCATAACGCCAGAAATGAAAGTAATCACTACATTAATATATTTGGAAAATGGTAAAGTGCAATAAAGCAGCAGTGATTTGGCTCTGTCACAACCTTCTGTAAGCAGTGATCACACAAACATTACAGCACTTTCAGAACCTCTTATTGTGTCACAGTTCATTTAGTTTTCACTGGACATTCCCACCTTGCAGGCTCAAAAAACTGCAGTTATGAATGTAGCAGGCTTCCCTGGTGCGCACAAGCAGGGGGAATGAACGGTTAATAATGTGCGCTATAAGCTCCCACGTCCGCTTCTTGCCCGGTGCTGTGACACCCGGGCCGAATTTTCCTTTATGGCCTAGTGTTCATCCACTAACTGGGCTAACAGTAAACACGGTTCTTCTGTCCAGTCGGGCTTTCTCGTCTTTCTTGTTTTCTATATTAAAACCAACATTCAGACCAAATAGACAGCAATCAGTGTAATTTGGAAATTTTTTTATCATTCTAAGCTAATCAAATACTTTATAGGAAATTTAAGAGCAAGGTAAAAAAAAAAGGATTTGTGTACATAAATATAATGTGTTTGTGTGTGTAAACTCTATACTTCAAATAACTTTTTCATTTTACCTTCTTGGACAACCAACCAATCACAGTCTTCAAAAGATTGTCACGCATAGCAACGGGGTCAGCCCCGCCTCTTCACTAGTTTTCATCTTTTCCTTACTCAGAGTTGCTCTCAGATCGGTCCCGAATCGGTCTTAAGCTAAGACTCCTATGTAAAAGGCCCAGTTATGTACACTGTAAAAAATTTCTTGTCAAATTAACAGTAACTTACTGGCAACAATTATCCAGTACTTGCTGTATTTCATTTAACAGTAAAATTACCGTAACACTAACAACAGTACTGTTAAGCATACTGTAAATTAAATAACATTATTTTACTGTAATTTCTTACCATATTAAAGTACAGAATTACACTGTTAATTTTTAATAATACTGTGTAGTATGAAATGTTATTGTATTTATTTTATAGTGCTACTGTGTAACCTGTAGAAAATCCGTAGAAATATTATTTTAACTGTTAATGGGAAATAGAAAAAAGAACAATTGAAGCTTTAACTGCACAAGGTTTATTGTGTATTTTCAAACACATTAGCGCATTTATAATATACATTTAAATACATTAATACAATTAAATACATTAATAATAAAAATGTAATATAATACAATAAAAATCATGCATGACAATCATGAACAATTATGCATAAATACATGCAAAAAAAATATCAGGTAAAATAGAAAAGATTAAAGGGGTGCTATCTGATCAATCTATTAGAAAGATAGTTCGTAACAACTCATCCACCCACTCCCTGCTGGGGTAAAACAGCTTAAACTAGTCTAAGATTGTCTATTGGTTTGAGATAGACTGTCTAACTGGTCAGTTGCTGATTTTAAAGGGTTTTTGGCTGCTTTCTATCTAAGGGACCAGATTTGCAGGGCTGCGAGACACATATAAACTTATAAACTATAAAAGCTTTGACAAGTAAACCACCAATCCAGATGAGTATTACAAAATGACAAGTTATCCAGTGTCCTTTAAAAAAAAAAACTAAACACAAAACAACCTCATCATGCACATGTGCCATGAAAAACTTGCATTATGGTATTAATAATCATTTATATGTAGACTTATGTTCTAACTTTTGCAATAGGAAGTTTTCTATCCAAGCTTTTATGCAATTAAACCTTAAACTGTACAACAACGTTTATTTTCACACAACAATTCTTAACAACTTGCAGATAGACAAAATTCACAGATGGATAATAATCTGTTTAAAATGTTCTCAGTGGGTCAGTACTGGACCAAGGTATAGTAGTAGTAGTTAGATAAATAGAATAATTAAATTAGATTAGATTTACAATTCATCGGTCGTCAAGATGGATAGGGGTCTTCTTAACATGCACAGCTCACACCTGTGGAAAAGGAGAACAGACAAGACAGTTAAAATACAGTACGTTTTTGTTGTTGTTGTTTTGGCTAAACAGCAAAAACAGACAAAATTATGTCTAAAGTGTAATTCACTTAATACTAAAATCTTGTTTGTTGGACTGTTGTTTAAAATCAATTGTTAAAGTATGTTCATTATGTCCTCAGTTGTATGCTGTGTAATATAATGCAATGCTATACTGTTCAGTGTTGTGCATATGTTTATGCCACAAGAGGGCACTAAAGTATAGGCTATGGAGGATGCGTTTGTATTATTATTATGTTTGTCCAAGTTGATTTACCGTAGTTAAGAGGATCATATTACTGAGAGAATCTTCATTAGAGACTGATGTGTCAACAGCTGAAATAAATATGCCAAGAACGGCTAAAGATAACTCATCTCTATCGTCCACTCTTTTCTTTTGAATGCAACGCAAGCTGAAACATAACTCAACATCAATTCATTTACGATCACGTGAAAACGTAGGTTAAATCTTGCTTGTGTGATACATGACTTAATATTTTGGACAAAAATACACCTGGGCGCTTTCCGTGGTCCATCAGTTATCACTGAGGTAACGTTAACGTTAATGGCAGAACGCCAGGTCAGGATTTACACGAAAAAAAAAGCGTGAAAAAATCAATAAGAGGAATTGACACTTTAATTTTATAACAATAAATCCGAATCCTAACCTTGGATATCCGATTTCAGGATATCGATTTTCAATTCCTAACCCCTATAAGTTATGAAATAATGAACGTGCAGGCGCTTTCACCGACTTAACGTGGTAAATAACAAAATGATTAGACCATTTTGACCTTATAAGAGGTTACATATGATATATAAAATCACATATTTAATCAAGTAAGTTAGGCTATCAAGATGAAAGAAATCCGCGTCTGACTTATGCTAGGCTTATAACATTCCGCGGCCAGTTCTTTCTAACGTTAATCTGTTAACGTACGTAACTCATATGGTTTGCATAAAAATATGAATTACTAACCAGATATGTATGGCGAAAACGTTGCCGACAGCGACGCGATGCACGGCCTGCGCGTTCTTACAGAGAGAAGGGAACTGAAGAGTTCTTCATAAAATGGCAGCTGGTTGTGGTTATTTTTCGCGGTCATTTCGTACTAATGTATTTGAATTTACAGTAACATGCCCCAAATGGCTACATTGAAGAGTAGCCTATCATATACATATTATATTAAAATGTCTAGAATAGATTAAATTGAATGTAGAAATCGTGGTCAGCTATTCTAAAAAACTTTAAAGTTATTAGCTAGAATCCGTATACACATTATAAGAATTATTACTTACCAGATGAAGAAGTTGCAGGTCGGCAGAAAAGACATCAGCACCACTGACACGACAGAGAAACTCTTCCAAAGTCAAATATGCTCTCATGCACACCCCACTGACATAAATTATGTCATAAATTATGACTGTTAATGGTCAACCAGTGCTACATTTTTATTTTAAATGTAAGAATAACATTAGTAGGCTAGCAATTTTTCCGTGGAACTGTGTGTGGTGTTTTTCGCGGTCAATTTGCACTGTATTTAGATTAACAGTAACTGATAATTTCCCAGAATGCATTGAAATTCTACAGTAACATACTGTCAACTGTGTGCACAGTACATAACTGTTGAAAAAACAATTTAATACTGTGAAAACAACTAAATCTACTGTAACTTACTGTACATAGATTATACAGTAAGAAACTGTTGAGAAAAACAGTATAATCCTGTGAAAACAACAGAAATCATTTACAGTGTAAATAAAGGTCTCCTTTAATTCAAGAAACTGTATCCCTAATAAATATATACAGTTTGCTTGCTTTATTCATATTTCAGAAATGCTGAAATAATTACATTTCTTTTAGTTTTGCATTTGTCTCAAAAGAGAATTGAGTTTGTTTCATAATGTATAGTTTTCCAGTATGGAAGCTTGTTTTCACCATGGAATAAAAAAGAAGATTTTTTTCCCCTTCCTAATTTTGAGATTTAATCTTGCAATTCTAAGAAAGTCAGATTTGATTAATAGGTTGCAGTTGTGGAAGAGCGAGCTGGGGATGGAGAGAGACATGATGGAGATGGATGCGTGTTAACACCAGAACACCAAGAATCCTCAGCAGAGAACCTAAATGAGAGGTGAGTAATGGCTGCTAATTTACAGAGAGAGGAGGAAAAAAAACTATTGGTGATTTATGCTAAAATATATAAACAATTAATACTCCGCAACAGCAATGAAAATGATGATGAGTCCTTTGAAGTCCCGATGAAGAAAGGCCATGCAAAAACATCTGCTGATGAATGTGCTGTGTAATTTTTATTATATGTTTTGTAAAAAAAATCAGAATGTTGTAACTGTTGTTTGTTTCCGTATCAGTGAAATACTTTCTATCTCTGTAGTTCCAATAATGGGTTAGAAGATCTTCTTGTCCCTGAAAGTCCAGAACAACCCAGCCAAACTATGGAAGTTGTAAGTAACAGTATTTATTATTGTTATTGTTTTTTTGTGTGTGTGTAACATGAGAAAATGTTGATGTATTGTCAGAAGATTTTTTTTCCCCTTCCTAATTTTGAGATTTAATCTTGCAATTCTAAGAAAGTCAGATTTGTGAGAGAAAAAGTCAGTTACCTTTTTAATTTTTTCTTTATTCTGTGGCAGAAACAAGCTTCCATACGCAAAAAAGGTTCAAAAGACTTTGTTTATTTTTTCTAATTGTTTGTCTGTGATGTATATACATTTACACACACAGAATGGATTTTGTTAATGTAATTGCTTGCTTGTGTATGTTAAAGGATTAGTTCACTTCAAAATGAAAATTCTGTCATTTACTCACCCTCAAGTTGTTTCCATCTTATGAATTTCTTTCTTCTGTTGAACACAAAAGAAGATATTTTGAAGAATGTCGGTAACCAAACTGTTGATGGGCCCCATTAGGGGTGTAAGAAAAAATTGATACTCTTGAGTATCGCGATATTTTATTGTGCAATACTGTATCGATTTTCAGAAACACAATATCTTTTTTTTTTGTGGCTATGCACACAAAAGATGCGCCAGACGCACCACTAGCCTAACGTTTTGCTAGAAACAACATGGCTATGGCTGAACCCAGTGTCAAGACCCGGCTCCTGCTCTATTCTTTTCGGCATGTTAATCAATGAGTGCGTTCATTCACACCGCAAGCAGTAGCCGTGCCCGTCGAAGCTCGAGCAGGACCGTCGCGTGAGCAACAGTGAAACGGGGGTTTCGGCGGAGAGTATATAAGGGCGTCGCACACCAGACGAGAAGCTCAGCACCACATCTTTAAAATTCGAACACATTATTCTCTATGAGTGTACACCGGCGGCGCCATTCGGCGTCTGTCCGCGGCGCCCAGCAACGGCTCAGGGCCGTGTTCAAAATCCTGCTGCGCCACAGAGCGCCATTTACATAGTTTTATATAAAATTTAAATTATTTTTGGCTCAAATCGTTGCTAATGTCTCCTGACTTCGCCCTATGCTGCAATATGCATTTAGTTTTGCATCCATTTACAGAAATCAGCTGCTTGAATGACAATTGCTGATGTTATTGGATTTTCAGCTAAGATTCTCAATTCATTCAGTGAACGGATGCTCTGAGGTTAAGACTGCAGACTAAACAACGATTGTATTTTATTGTACAGTACAATCATAACATAGAACAGACATTACCTTCATTTCATGTCATTAAACATAACAATATTGCTGGCCATACACTGATGAGAAAGTGCACGTCCGGTGTGGGATAGCCTACCTGGAGTTATCCTGCGTGGTGCAGCCGCTGCAGCGCTGCGCTTCTCGTCTGGTGTGCGACCTCCCCACCCCCCCTGTCTATTTTTAAGTGTATAACCAACTTCTAAAAACACATTTAACCAATGGCTTTTTGGCTCTTTTTATGGCTTTTTCTAAAATTATAGTCCTACTTAAAAAAAATAATCCCAATATATCGCCTTATGGACAGTATCGAAATATATCGCAATATATTGAATCGTGACCCATGATGCATATCGTATCGCCAAATTCTTGCCAATACACAGCCCTAGGCCCCATTGACCTCCATTGTATTTTTTTTTTCCTATGGAAGTCCGACGTTCTTCAAAATATCTTCTTTTGTTTTCAACAGAAGAAAGAAATTCATAAGATGGAAACAACTTGAGGGTGAGTAAATGATGGCAGAATTTTCATTTTGAAGTGAACTAATCCTTTAAGTGAAAGAAGTATAATAGAATAATGTACAGTCTACAATATATACACCAATATACATTTTAATGATTGTTTTTGTTACTTTCTCAGAAAATTAATAAGTCTCTTTATTCCATGATGTCTCTTTTCTCCCATTTTTTTTTTTTTTTTTTTTTTACTCTGCCTTTGTGTTCCAGACTTCATGTGATGAGGATATCAGCATTGCTGATAGAATATATCGGGAATGCCAGCAGAGCGGACCACTTCGTTTTTTTGAATGTGTCCCTCCAGCTGGCATGAACCATTGTCTAAAGATTGGCGAGGGGACTTTTGCAGAGGTCTTCTCAAATAACGCCTTTTCAATATTTTCCAGGATGCCGAGTGGGTGAACAAGACCAAGCTGGGTGGCAGATTTGTGATCGGCGTACAGAGGGAGAAAACCTCGAGTATGCAGATCGCTCTGAGGAGGAAGCTGTAAGTTTTACTGTACAAACTGTTGATTTCTCACCACCATAGTTTTAAATGGAATAACTCATCTGTCTTTTTTCCGTAGTGCTTGGAGCTGTACTTCAGACGAATCAGGCCTGAGAACATTCAGCCGGAGAAACTCTGCAATAGTTTCTTTGTTTCGTCATCCGGCGTGGAGGTTCAAAGTGTCTCTCGGGACATGAATCGGCTCCATAAATTGTAAGTGCCTTACACGGGTCCATGTGTGTGTGTGTGTGTGTGTGTGTGTGTGTGTGTGAACGGATACACTTCTTTGTATCTTGCCTCATCACAGTCACATCACAATTAATATTTCCTTTTTGTTTCTGCAGGTACAAGCTGGCTCCTTTCTCTGCCCAGTGTGTGCGGAGGGCTGTTGAGGAGGCTGCAGAAAAGCTCCCGGCGCAGCAACAGGAGGCGCTGCACCATTACCTGTCCATCAGCGCTGGTGCGGTCCGGCCGCAGGATGTCGTCGACGCAGCTCTGCTGCTGGAATCATTAGTCAGGTACACATCTCTTCATCCAACCATGGCATTACTCATCACAAACAAAGTAACGTCATTCTGTCTTTCAGCACATTTCACAGTCCGCAAGCCTTCAGCCGCAAAGGTGGCACGGCTTATTGCACAGGAGGGATGGAAGGTCAACTGTCCCAAGCCGGAGGACATCGAACGGCTGTGGACACCACCTTCGAAGGCAGCAGTTGAAGATGACAAGTTCATCATTCGCTGTGTGTCTGAGCAGAACTGGTCGGGCATGGCCATAAAAGACTTTGGTGATGAGCGTGGTTTTGGTAAGAAAACCTTTCATTTGTCTTGTAAGGGCAGAAAAAAACAATAATGTAAAATGTACAATTTAGCAGCCAATAACTGCAGCAAGAACTACATTTACATTCTGAACTGTGTGTCTACATGTAATGTTTGTTCATTAATTAAAAAATGTAATGTGTTCTCATTATTTTAGGAGTCGTGGCAACTCAGACTTTTTCAAAGAACGACATTGTTTGCGACTGCCACGGCAAGGTCATCCCAGCTGCTCAAGGGAGGGCGATGGTGCAGGCCCAGCATGACGAGGCCGGGTACATGTTCTTCTTTAAAGCCGGACAGAGAGATCTCTGCGTCGACGCCCAGACCTTTCCGTGCGAGTGCCACCCTGGCAAAGACACCGTTGGGAGGAGGATAAACCACTCCACAAAAGCGCCCAACCTGAAGCCCTTTCACTGCAGGTTACGTGTGAATGGGGAGGACAAGGACGTCATCCTCTTCAGGGCACTGAAGGACATCAGTGTGGGCGTTGAACTACGGTTCGACTACGGGGTCAAAAGGAAGTCCTTCCGTGGAGAGGGCCTACACCTGGACTGGCTGGATGGTTGAGAAGGCCTTCATCAGGCTGGAGTGGCTGGACTTTTGATTCCTGTTTTAAGGACTAGATTTTGCTGGACTCTCACAGACCATTTGTGTTACATTTTATGACACAAGACTGGGAACTGTGTATGAACTATCAATGTTTTATTTGTCAACTGTGAGCTCGCGAATGAACTATAGATGATTGGACAAAATTGGGAGCTTGCATATGGACTTGATGTTCATGTAAATGGAGCCTCAATAGACTCTAAACATTGTAGTTTCATGTAAATGGAGCCTCAGTTTGACCAATGAAATAATTGACTTTGATCTACGTCCTGGAGCTGGAGTGGTTGGATCTCTGACAACTCTACCCAGGCATCCCAGGACAGTGTCTCCTTCCATCATCGGCTCCTCAGAGCTCCTTGAGGGATTCTGGAAACGAGCCAGAACCTGAGAACAATTTCCATAAAGTTACGCATCTCTTTAACCAAGCATTCACATATTGCATTAATATTATGAACATCAGCTATGCTAATTATTTCCCCTCTGCCTTTCTGCTGTTATCTCGGGACGCTTGTCCCGAGAAAATAGGAGTTTGTCAGCTCCAGTTTGTATCCAGCCTCTCACAGAGACTTCAGATGCCCCAACGCCTGTGATGAGAAGACCAACGCCTGTGAAGAGACGACTCAATGCTGGCGATATGTTATGCCCTTACTATTACATGATTAACTAAATGTATTTTTTTCCCTTTTAACTTTGCTGATATACACTTACTGTAAAGCTTCTATTGAAACAATATGTATGTAAGCCAGACTGAGCCTGGGTTCACTCAAGTTTTTATTCTCCATCCAATCTGATGGAGTTTTGGTTCCTTGCCACTGTCGCCTTTTGGCTTGCTTAGTCGGGGATATTTGGTAATAAAATGTGCAAACAACATGCAGTGTATATAAATTCTTTTATATTGTTAATACTGTGTGACGTGTGTTTGACCATGTGATGAGTGTGTTTTTCTTGTGAAAACAGTTTCAAGTTAATAAAGTGTGCAAACAACATGCAGTGTGTCCTCACTTTCTCTGCTGTGCTAAAATGTCTGTATTTAACTCAAATCTCAAGCTTTCTTTCTTTCTTTCTTTCTTTTTTTTGCATCAAATTAAACAGTGAGTTCTGTACTTCTCAGTGCTGATAATCATTAAGCTTTAATTGGTCAGAGAAGTGAAGAGACGACCTCAAACTGTGCAGTGTATGTTATTTTCTGCCGGTAATTTCATGTTTCTCACACCAAAATGTCTTTTATTCTGCCAATTCACGAGATGTTGTCATGTATTTTACTTCAAAATAAAGCTGAGTATGTGTCCTTTCATAATCCAACACTTATCTGGCTTTATCATGTTCATAGAGTGAATGAGACCTCATCAGGTTAGCTGACCTACAATTTTTTTTAGCTGACCTAAAAAATCTGGGAGTAGTTTACCGTTGAATCCCAGGCCTTTGTCGTCACTGTCTCTGCTGTGCTAAAATGTCTGTATTTAACTCAGATTTATTTGTGCTACTCAATCTGTGTTTACAGCGTGTCCTTGGTAAGCATCTATTTACACATTTTGTGAGAGTAGTTTGTGTCAAGTATGGGCAATTAGGGTAATATCATAGAACATGTCACCACAATGGTTAATGCTTCTCATGATTTGTTTTTGTAGAACATTTTGGTCAGCATCCATTGTCTGGGCCAGGCAAACAAAACAGACGAGGGTCCAAGGCAAAAAGGATAATCCAAGAAAACAATGCTCAGCACCTGGATGGACAAGCAGGCAGGCTAATCATATGGCAAGGTATTTATTTCTAGCACATCTCATACACAATAGTAATGCAAGGTGCTTTACATATATTTTCTGGTAATGAATGAAAGTCATTTTAAAGGGGTGATGAACTGAGAAATCAAATTTTCCTTGAGCTTTTGACATCTAAGAGGTCATCATATTATAATAATATCCTGTAAGTTTCAGAACTGAAAACGTCCTTGTTAGTCCAATAAAAGCTTTTATTGACACCAGCCTCTAAAAACGTCTCGTTTTTCAAAGTGGGAACTATGACGTCAAAGAGGATAAAACACCACCCCCGCAGAAGAAGATCAACGCCTGCTTCAACACGTCAGGTTTAGCCCCGCCCACCGATTCACCCATTACACACATAGCTAAGTAACATACATGTACATGCTGACCTCGTGATGACAAACTGGATCGAGCTACCGAGCAATACAGAATATTGTGCTGTGCAAGACAGTCGCTGCATAAGCTTCCTCTGGATTCCAATAGGAAAACGAGGGTTCGATCAATGTTAAAAGCAAGTTCGCGAAAGGTTGGTATCTCATGATGAACATTTTACACAATCACACATTAAAAGGTGGTGTAAAAATATGTTAAATTCTTAATACAATTCTGTAAGTGTGTTAATGTCAACCCGAGAAGCGATTATGCATACTGTTCTCTTCCAGCTATCCAGGAACGTGTCCATTGTCGGGTTTTCTTTCTTTTTTTACGTTTTTCTGCACACAGGACAGCCAATACAACACTCGCCGCTTCATCCATTGTTTGTTTACGTTCGTTTCCGGAAGTCACTCGCTAGTAGTTTCGCCTTCTCGATGACATCACGCGCGTCGTTAAAGACGGCACACGATGACTGGTCAGGAAGCAACGTGTAGTCTGACATGTTTCTTGTCCACGACAAGACAAGATTTTAAGAGTCAAAATCGCGTAATCTGACACAGTGACTATCGTAACAGACAAAAAAAATAGTGTAATCTGAACCAGGCATTACGGCCACTGCGTGAGAGTTAGCAGCTTGTACCAGGAACACTTTAAGGTAGGGCTGGGCGATTTGCGCCAATTTTTTAAAATGAAAATCGGTCAGATTCTGTCAATTTTATTACGAAATTCAAACAATAAACACAGTTTTGGCGCTTGTAAATGTGATGTGATCACGTGAAAGATCACTAACAGATCTCAGTTCAAGTGGCATGTGAACTGATCATCTGTTACTCTTTACTGCTATACCGAAATAAAACCGATCGATCAGTGTTTTTCAACCGCGGAAAGATGTCCATAAAACAGCTGGAGAAGTTGGAGAAAAACATGTGTCACGTAACGTTACATTTACCTCAGACTCAGGAATGCCTTTTAATGACCAAAGCACAAAGCACGCATGTTAGTTGGACTTAAAATAATTGCTATAGAGAGGAGTATTTTGCTAAATATGATAAATATGATAACTACCGGTATATTACACATTTATTATATTTTAACTATGTCATTAAAATATTGTAAAGTTGTTTGTTATTATAAAAAACGCATTATGTTTAATTTGAGTTAGTTTTAACCTTTAATAATACCAGCTGCCCAGCTAACACAAATACGTGACAGTTACGTAACTGCAACGTAATCTGGTGACCAAACTTTCGTCGTGGCGACGTAACCAGTTACGTTGTGACAACCGGAAAAGTGAAATTCCCAGATACGTTGTCACGACGTAACTTTGTAACGTCGTCAGTAAGTGACTGCGACGTTGTGGCAATGTCGTGGATTAATAGTCGTGTGTTGGTAACCAGTTGGTCATTTTAATTATTTTATATGGGCGGACAAACAGTGGTCTAATTTAACTTGTCCTCATTTGCCCAAAACTATTTTGGAGACTTTTCAACCACATACAAAAGATACAGACTCAGTATTTGGTTAATTCATTTCATTTACTATAGAACAAAGCACAAACAACAGCAAAAACAGTGTGCAAACAGGTTTATAAACATTTAAAGTAAGGTTTTATATGAATATAATTAAAATAATGTAAGAAATGTAATGTAAAAAAATTAAAAATAATGGTTTTCTATTTTAATATACTTTAAAATATAATTTAATCCTGTGATGCAAAGCTGAATTTTCAGAATCATTAATCCAGTCTTCAGAATTACATGATATAATATTATACACAGGAATAATTCACACTACTATATATTCACATGTTATAATATTTGTTTTTGTTGTTGTTTTTTGTCAAATAAATGTAAGCTTTATAAGCAGAATAGACTTCTTCCAAAAATTATTAAAAATAGGAACGTTTCCAAACTTTTGACCGGTACTGTTATGATTTTATACAAAATAAATAGTAGTTAATAAGACTGACACTTTATTCTATCTAGTATTATTGAAGCAAAACAGAGTCCCTATAGCACTGCAGTTTGTCTTCGAGAAAATGTTTTATGTGTTGCAAACCTCTCTCTCACAAACACAACACATCAGTTACACCTTTTTAAATTCTTCGATGCAGGTGCGTACATCCTATTCTACAAATTAACAAACTCATAGGGTCATATTTTTGTTGATAAACAGTAACATTTTGGCCAATTATGCACATTTCTTGGTGTATAATTATGCACATTTCTTGGTGTATAATGGTGTCAAAAAAAAAGTTTGAAACTTCTATAAAAAAAAAAAAACTTTCACCTATACCTAATATTTATCCAAAGGAATTGATATTGAATCAATATCAGAATCAAATTTTTTAAATTGTGAAATTTGTGGTCATTCTATAATGATTTATTCTTTCCAAATAGAGCAATTCAAGTCATCTGGGGAAATTGTTGTAATATCGCAATATATATTAAGGAAATATAAAATATCGCAATGCCATTTTTTACCAATATTGTGCTGCTCTAGCGGTGATGTAATGTGAAACATAGACTGTTTTCTTCGTCTACTGGGAAGATGCTGAGTTCTGAAGAAATCCGGAGACAATTCAGCTGCCCTCCACTGGTCAAACTGCAAAGACTGACCAAACAAATTCAGATGCAAAAAATATCCATATGAGCCCTGAACTGCAAGTTGTACAAATTTCTTTCCGCTGTATGTAATAGTCTAGTTTACGACAACTTTGGTATTATTTTGACTTTTTTACTCTTTTGAAGAGAGACATTAAACTTTGTGTCTGATTTCACTGACTCACCATGTCTGTGTGTGATTGTTGTGATTCTAGAGAGAATGGAGACTCTTGTAATGAAATATGCAAATATTTTAAACTTTATTTGTAACTAATGGTACTATATCATAAAATGTCCGATGTATACAATCACAGGCCTATTTAGAAAATGTGTTTATTATAGTCTGTAATTAATTACTATAGTGGGAATATGATTTACTCAATTAACTTGTTCGAAATGCACTTGTGTTTTTTTTATAAAAAGGTTCACACACACTAGATTACAGCCTAAGCTACTGTTAATATGTAAATATAACGTTATCGTTTGTTTTTAAAGATTCGGATTTCTCCCTTAATAATTCCTAAAAAGCTGACATCTGTTATTAGCAATGAAACTGACTGCACAATGAATCTTTCATAATATCGATTTGCCAATAAGCAGAATTCAGCACTGAACAAAAAGTCAATTTTGAGCCGTGAGGAGATTCCATCTTAAATGCTTCCGATTGGCCAATGCATTCAAGAAATTGACCCATATGTCTGTGATTGGCTACATTGTTAAACGCTGCAAACATG